CAGGTCGAAATTCGTTGTTGGAATTCGTAGTTTTTGTATAAATAATAGACCATCTATTAGTTCGTAATGGGCCGCCCTATTTCTTATCGCCACAATATCTTGGTGGCTAAAATTTTCAGGATCCTTTCAAATACTCATAAACTTCCAAACTCAGGATCCTTACCCAGTTCGGTTATTACAGTTTCTCGGGAATTTATTGTACATGCTGTGAGCATTGCCACCTTTACGGTATTACCCTGTTCGTCTAATTTAATTCGTGATAGGGCATCTGCTACGATATTTTCCTTTCCGGGGGTATGCTTGATTACCAGATTATATTCTTGCAGCTTGAGTGCCCATCTTATTAACCTTGGGGATAAATTTTTCCCTGAGTACAATCTAGTTACCGCACCGCCGCATGATCAGAGTACACTGTTATCGGCGCCTTTCCAAAATAGACTCGGAACTTTTGCACTGCTAACAGAACTGCAAGTGCCTCTCTCTCGGTCGCGGAATAGTTTCTTTGTGTTTGATTTAAAGTTCGGCTAAAAAATGCCACGGGCTGCTGATTTTGCGAAAGTACCGCTCCTACCGCATAATCCGAAGCATCCGCTGAAATTTCTAAATTCTCATCCTTTTCAGGAAATTTCAACACAGGGGCTTGCGTTAATGCTTGTTTTAATTTTTCGAAAGCACTATTGGCTTCGGCCGTCCACGAGAATCTTGCCTTTTTCCTTTTTAATTTTAACAATGGCTCAGCGATAGCCGCAAAATCTTTTATAAAGGACCTATAATATGAACAAAGTCCTAGAAAAGAAGAGAGCTTCTTTGCCGTGTTTGGAGTCGGATACTTTTGTACAGCGATTATTTTTGATTCATCTGTCTCGATTCCCTTTTTGAGATATTTTGTAACCTAAATATTTTAATTCAGGGGCTGCAAATTTGCACTTTTTCGACATTAACTTTTAGACCGGCCTCATTTAATAAAGAAAACACCTGTCTTAAATCCTGTACATGTTGGTCGAGATTATCACTAGTAATAATGATATCGTCTAAATAGATAAATGTGGACTTTCCAAGAACAGGTCTTAACACAATGTCCATGCATCGCTGAAATGTTGCCTGGGGGCCCCTGAAAGGCCAAACGGCATACGCAAAAATGCATAAGTGCCAGACTTGGTTATAAAAGCAGTCTTAGGCACGTCCTCAGGCCTAACCCCTATTTGAAAATAACCAGTCGTTAAGTCTAAAGTCGTCATAAATTTGGTTGATTTTATGTTCCTTAAAATTTCTTCTATAATCGGTAACGGATATACCGGATATTTCGTTATGGAATTTAATTTACGGTAATCAATAGCGAATCTCTCCACCTTTTTGGATGCTCCAAAGGATAGTCATTATTTTTCTTAGATAAAACCACCGGGCTAGCATAACTACTTGAGATGGGCGTTATGATCTTTTTACGTAGCATATCGGTAATATGCCATTCTATAATTTTTTCCTTATTCTTATCATACCGGTATGGTCTTTCGGCGAACTGGCATTGCATCTCCGGTGTCAATACTATGGTTAGTAACCTGAGTAAATCCTGGAATATCACTAAATAACGAAGCAAATTCACTTACCACTTGTCGGATTCTATCTTGCTCGTCATTAGGCAGGTGGTCAAGATTTAACCTTGGCGGTTCAGCCCTTTTCTACGAACTGGTTTCATTGTCAGCTTAAGGGACGCTTCATTAAAATCCAGTGTAGCTTGTGCGTCTGAAAGAAAATCTATTCCTAGATAAATGTGCTTGCAGATTCTTTACTATAAAAAACATCACCTTTACTTGTTCGTCCTTGATACGGATATACAAACGGTACTTTACCTACGCACTTACATTTTCTCCTTGCGCCGCTAACACTGTCGTATTATCCGCATTATATATGCGGTATTTGCGAAAATACTTTTCTAAAAAAGATCTTCTTCTGCCACACAGGAACACTGCGCGCCGGTATCCAGGAGTGCGGTGGCTGGGATATTATTCACCAAGACTTCAATCTTCGGAAGAGTCAAATTTTTTCACCATTACTGTATTTAACTTGTAGGAAGAGGGGTTTTCGTGGCCTTCGGATTTCCGCACCCTCCTCGTCAGCAGAAATCCGTTTTAGTTTAAATTATTTTTCCTTTCCGTGCTTTCCTTCTTTTTCCACTGGCCTTGAGACTTTTTTCCTGGGTTGCTATTGAACTGTCGACGTTCGCCGGCTGTTTTTGAATGCTCGGGTTTCCTTGCCCACTGATTCGCTTTTTCTCCGTAGCCGTGTGCTTGAGTTTGCTGTAGTCTTGGCGTACCAAATTGGTTTCGCTGTTGATATTGGCGTCTTCTTTCGACGTCCGCCGTTCTTCTACTTTCAAACTGGATTGCTAGCTCAAATAACTTTTCCAGTGTAGTCGGATTTCTTAATTCAATAAAGTCTTGCACTTGGGGTAGTAACCTCGGCAAAATCACTTGAATTATTTCAGGATCCGGACGGTTTCCATACAAGAGTTTGAAAACGTGAATTTTTCTTAAAATAAAGCTGAGAGGTTTTCGATTCTTTGTTGATATATACTGAAAAGTTCCGTTTCTAATTTCGCACGATCCCTTACAACAGGGAAGGCTTTTAGTAGGGCAGTCTTGAAATTTTCGTAAGTATAGGTGGGACTTCCTGCTTGACCCAAGAGACTTCTGCCTATACATTTGAACCAGTTAAGCGCTTGGCCCCTCAAAGCGCTGGTAGCTAAGGTAACTTTTTGAAACTCGTGCACGGGGTAGAGCATGAAGTGGTCATCCAATTTTTCCAAAAAACTGGTTACCGGTGAGTTTCCATTAAATGTTGCTTCTGGTTTCATCATCGAAGCGCGCATGGTCTGGACGATGTAACCAAATCCTTCCAGGGCGGCAGCTGGCATTTCTGGATTCTGAGCCGTTTCTGCAGGCAGCACAGGTTCTTCTTGAAACTCGGCCATGGTTATTCTTCTTCGTCGTTGGGCGCCACTATCAGGTTCAATGTTCCTTCTAACCTTCTTCGGGAACATACAAGGACCTGACTCGGAACAGAGAGCTTACTAAAGCTATGTTCACTAATTGTGGTAAGTAGACAGGATACAGACGAAGGGTATACAAAACCCTTTATTTTTCTCTATATACAATAACTTCCGTACTTCGGAATACAATGACCCTCCACTTCGGGGTCTAACGTAAAAATATAAAAATAAAACTAAACTCTAATTTAACTTTAGAATAATAAACGTGGAAGATTGGCCTTATAATAACAGGAAGCCGTATGTAGCACAGAGAACTGTGAACACTACAATACGTTTAAATTTATCAAGAGGATTAAAACCTCTGGCCTGGAAGGCAACCAGCAACTGCGTAAAACTTCTAAGGTAAGCGGCCTGCTTCGACTAACTGCTTCCTCTCTCTCTGCTTGGCAAAAAGCCACAACTTAAAGTACTTGGCGTTCGCCAGACAAACTTTGCATAAAACCTTCACGCTTATAATTCTGGCCGGAAGTAGAAAATAAGAAGTGATAGTAAAGATTTAAAATAAAATAAACGTTAGTAAAACTTAAGATCCTTACATATTATATAAATAAAATTAATCATTAAAAATTCTAATGTTGCCACATGTTGTTTATACTTTTCGTTTTTATAACAAGGAAAAGAATTGCAACAAAAGAAACAGTTTACAACGAAACTTCTCATATTAATTTTCTCACTTCGCGAGAAGGCAAAAATACATAAAAACTCAAAATATCTGTATTAAAAATTACGAAGTAAATCTTAAACACTTATTTTCCTCGAAAAAATTCCAGAAAGGATTAAGCATGATTTAACTGGCAATAATAAATGAAGGCGTTATCTTTGTTGTTGCGAAGCTACGTTTCTATAGATTGGCAACAAATCCACTGTTCTGCTAAGCTCTTTCAAATGTAAACAAGCATATGGCCGCCATGGCAAAAACATTATTAGGTTTAGCGTGAACTTAAACAACTTTTAAAATTGTTGATAATTCCTAAAAATATATGCATACAGATTTACTAAAGGCATAAAAAATCTTAACCGAAAGATAAGAACATCATAATTCAATCATTTTTTTAATGCAAATAATGTACGTAATTTACAAACATATAAGAAGTAAAGAAACTTGAGATCACTGAGCCGGGTAATAACAGAGTGGATATATATATATAAATATTTATATCACGTTTGGTGCGGCCGATGGCAACCAAAATGACGAGGTGCACATCTACATGTTACAGCAAGTCCCTGTATACAAAATTTCAACGTTCCGAGGCTACTCGTTTTTAGTTATGCGAGATACGTACGTACGTACGCACGTACGTACATACGTTCGTACAACGTCTCACAAAAATTCTCTTCAATTAATTTTTAAAGCATTTTTATAATTTTTTCTGAAGGAAATGAGTCTTTTATTCTGTCCTTACGTACAGATATCACGCAAAAACATCGTTAAATTGCATTCGATAGCGGTCAAAATGGATATTTTCGTTAAAATATGCTGCCTGAAACTTTTCGCGATTACAATAGTTTCTTTTTACTTCGTACAAGGAAGTAAAAAAGAGCTAAAATCAGAGATATTAATAAAAAACTTTGAAAACGCTAGTTTTTGCCCTCATTTTTCAGAGTGGCATCAGTCTCACACGCTGGAAATAAAAATCTGCTTCATTTCGAGAAGTGAAGCAGCAGACTGCTCGCTTTCAAATCGTAGAGTTTGTTAATAAAAAATTACTCAGGTTTTCTTCTTTATATATATAGATATATAGATTTGAAATATGTGGTGGTGCGAGCGGATAAACTTATTGAATAAGGTGGAAATAGTTTTGAATTTTATGAACTTATACTTCACTTTTATTTTGTTATGCACGAGATTATGAAATGCATAGCAGTACGGATCTCGAGATCTCTAACGTATTTAAAACCCTATTGTTCCATTTCGTATAATAAACAATATTTTCAAACATTAAATTCCTCTCTCTGGTTTTCCTTCTGCTTTAAAATTATTTCATCCAAATATTTTTCTGTTAATTGAACAAATTTTGCGAAATTCATGAATAAGAGCATTTAAAAATTTTACTAGTGATAATGGCGGAGGTCTCAAATCAACTGAACTACACATACGACTTTGATGCGGATTGTATGTCCAGAGACAAAAATCCTACCTGCTCTACTATTATCGGTAATCATGATGAAAAGTGCAATTCAAAATACACAAGTTCTTCCAGAAGTAAACACAAAGAATCAAATGTTTCAAAACTGGGAGAAAAACGTCCATACCATGTAAGAAATGACGACACACAGCAAAACATCGAGTATGACAGAAGGTCGAACAGTTATCTAGACACGGTAGAGGCTTCAGATTTAACAGTTTTAGAAGGCCCTTCCTGTCCTGATGTTGAAAGAAATCAAGATAATGATGTAGAACAAACGGTTTTGAAGAAACAGGTGGACAACATCATGCGTGAGTTATACCAATATAAAAGTCAAAACCAGATACTAAAACGAGAGCTTTTGAAAGCCCGAAAGGTAATATTAAGAGAAATTGGTGGCAATTCGTCAAGTTTCGAGACTTTGATAAGAAAGGCTAATGAAGAAGGTTGGATGGGCAGACAAGAAAGTATTTATTTGCTAAAAAGAAATATCCATGCTCTTAACAAGCTGATTGAGCAATTAGGAGGAAAACGCTCACCAAATCCAAGCATGACAAAGAGGAAAATAATGTCTCCGGACGATATTTCGGAGGATATGAGAATTCAACAAAGTCTTTGTTTCGAGAGAGACGATGTTATACGAAATGCGGAACGTGAAAGACAGGTTCTACTAGAAGAGCGGGAAAGACTCAGAAAAAAATTGGAGGATTTAGAAGATAAGTATGCTGTTAAATTTTGTCCTTACCAGAAAGTTCAATGATATAGCCATATTCTGAATAAAAAGTAACCTAACTGATGTAAATAATTTTGGAAAACATTCAGAGGAATACATTATTTGGCGTATCACATTTCGAATATGAAAAGTTAGTTTTAAACATATTTCAATATGATATGAAGTGTACGTATTGGCTAATCTTTAGAATATGGTAACAGGTAGTTTGGCGACATTTTGGTAAGGCGATAAAGGTTACTAGCTAGGACTTAAGCAATAATCTGAGAAGTACACAGTTCGAATCAGAGATTATTTTGTCTCAGAGAAATGAGAGATCATTAGACATGTAATGTGACATTTTCCGGAAAATTCCAATCGGGATTTTAATAATAAGCACTTAGAAACAATTCCGCTGCTAAAGTGCAGAATCGTCCACTTATTTGTTTGGCGCTTTTTACAAGCATAAGAAGAATTGGCTTTTTATCAATTTTCTTTGACTTTTTAAGTGAAAATAGGTCGATGTGTACATGGAAAAAGTGGAGAGTGTGTGCAATGCCTATTTGCGCAATTTTGGGATGTTTTTTAAAGTGAAAATAGGTCGATGTGTACATGGATACCGTGTATATGAAATTCTTAAAAACGCGGCCAAGCAGTGGACGATTCTACACTTTCTCCCAATTTCGCACCTAATCTGCGTCATGATTAAGCACTTTTGTTCCATAAAAGTTCTAGCATAAGCGCAATTTGGCTAGCAGATTGTTGGAAAAATGTTGAGTAAAAAAAAAACCTTTGCTAATGTGAAACCAAAATGGCTTAAAGAAAAAAAAGAAAAAAAAAAAAAAACTAGCAGGTTTGCTGTAGCAGTGTTGGTCACCAAAGTTTCGCCAAAAAATAGCCAAGTTACCATAATGTAAAGATTCACCTACATATTCACTAAAATACAGCCTTGTCTCGGAATAATTTTCTCTCACAAAATGCAGTAATTTTTTCGGTGCTACTTTGGTAGACGGTTGTACGGATTTTGGCGATATTCTTTTGGCGAACGATACGACTTAAGGTAAACCCATTGCCGGACAAGTTATTTATGGTAACCGATACTTTGTTGTCATTTTATTTAAAAAATAATGCGTTTTATTATGCATCAATTTCGTGTTTTAAATATTATTTATGGCTTCTAAATATTAAAAATCAATTTAATTTTACATTTTTATTTGAAATAAAAATCTTGTTCTTTATGATATTTTGTATAATTTATGTTGTGGATGATGTAATCAATGAAGTCACCTTGCTTTAATTGGTTTTGATATCTATAAATTTAATCTAATGTTTTAAACATTATTTATGGCTGTTAAATATTAAAATACAATTTAATTTTGCATTTTTTAAAGGATTTTGTTATGTATGATTATTTAAGAGAAATTGGTGATTATTTAAATAATTTTAATTCTAGGCTTGATGTAATCAGCTCCCTGATTGGTTACAGAATATTTGTGCATTACCGCGCCATTTTAAAATTTTATATTCATCTCTTCGAATTCCTTAGATTTCATAGGAAACGGATATGTCTCTTTCAAAGATTAATGTTGTTATTGGTAAGTACCAAGAATTATTGGTATCGGAATAAAAAAAATTGTCCTTTGAGACCTTATTTTGGCCAACCTAGCTTTCCTAACCAAAGATTTATTTATAAATTGCTACAACGGCCAGAGGAAATTTATTTTAAATTTTTGGAGGAAACCTCACTAATTGCTTCTTCAATGAAGTACGAGAAATGTGGATCACAGATGAAGATCGTTAGAAGAGCCGATTCTGAGGACGGCCGTATATGATATTGTGGTCACGGTGGAAGAAATAACCGCTGTAACGTTAAAAAAGTATTTGACATTCCTCTTTTTTTACCGGCAATAAACTGATTGCTGTCCTTTTAGCTCTAGTGTACGAAGCGTTCTTATTTACTTATTTTAATGTATTTGAGTTTAAGTAATATTTTAATTCTTTTAAACGTTGGTATGATGGTTTTTAATTCGATATTCAATTTACGTAATATTTTAATCCAATTAAACGTCGGCGCAATGTTTTTATAGTGGTGTTTTTATTCTATTTCTTTGCTATATAAAAGTAATAATTTAACCTTACTTTAGTATTTTATACTCGTAGTAAATGTATTTATTTACATTAGCCTGCCATGTAAAAAAAAAAAAAAAAATTATTTTTAACGATATTTATTTTTTTTTAAGTTTCGAATACTATGCGCAAAATATGTAAAAACAGTGTTTTTCAAGATGGCTGACGATTGTAAAAACCGCGCCAACAATTGCGCCAAAGTAGATCGCCAACAATCCGTGCAACAGTCTACCAAAGTAGCACCATTTTTTCCAGTTACAATGAAATGCATAATTCCAAAAGTACGGTAGCCTCAAATGTCAGGAATTTTAAAAGAACAAACATTTTTTTTCCATCGCAACTTGTTAATTCACAAGTACATTTTTCATCTAAGGTGATTTGCGATTTTGAAACGTACCACTTAGTTGATTTGTAAAATATTAAATAATGCTGATTGCATTATAATGTAATAATGGTATCACAAATTCCAATGTCGTATTTAGATAAGTTCACTGAATTTTCAAATTTCTTTCAAATATTTATATTAAAAAAATCAAATTCATATAAGCGTCAAAAAATCTATATATACTGCTGGCCACTGAAATTGATACACCAGGAAGGAAAGCAAACAGCAGAAACTTATTTAGGTACATTATTATTTAGGTATTACTGGGCGTATTATCGCAGCCACCTTAGCAGAAGTAGCCAAACTCTGTAACCATGTCCATAACAGTTCTTTAAATAACCTTCTCCACTGTTAGTTGCAATTCGAAAATTCACCGAATCATGTTATTTTTTGCAAAAATCGTCAAACTGAGCCAAGATGGTTGCGCTGATACGTAATTACTCTTATTTATTATATAGTGTAATAGGAGAAAGACATGATTAAATGTGCAGGTAGTTTGGAGTACACAGCAGACAGAATTCAGTACACAGAGGTGCCACCTCTAGCAATAACAACGGCTGTAATCCGGCTAGATATCGATCTGAAATGAGCTTCGATAACAGACATGGGTACTTCATTCCATGCGACTTCAACAATATGATAGAGTTCAATAATCATAGTGGCTGGCGAGTGGTGGCATGCTAGTCTCTCGGCAAACCAATACTAGATGTTCTCAATGAATGGGAAATCGAGAGAATATGCTGACCAGGCCAACGTTTGAATACTCTCTGTATCGAGGAAATTCAAGACAGCAGGGGCAACGTACAGTCGTGCATTATCTTGTTGAAAGATGGCGTCACGTAAGCCTTGAAGATGGAGTACAGCAACCGGCCTTAACACATCAGAAATGCAATGGTGGCTATCAACATTACCGGCTGTACAAAGAGATGACCTGAATGGGTACCCAGTGTACCCCATTCCAGCGCGACTGGTGCTGGGACCTTATTACGATGACAAATGCAAGTTGGCAACATTAGTTCTCCTCGGTGCCTCCACATACGGATACATCTATCATGATGCTTCAAGAATCACAATTCTTCTGATTTTATATTACGTCCAACGCGGAGTTTCTTTTTTTCACTTACACACACATAAACGTTTCGAGAGTATTTGGACTAATGTCTATTTGGGCTAAGAGTATTTAAAAGAGTATATCTTTGGAATTTCGGATAGACAGTCTCGCACGCCGGAGATTAAAAATGTTTTTTTTTTAATTCATTGCTCGCTTTGATAATGTTGAGTTTTTTAATCGAAAATTCGTTAATGTTTCACAAAACAGAAAATCGACAATAAAACAAATTCCGTTTCGAGACTAATAGTTCCGCTGGGCTAATAAAAGAATATAAATAAACTATATGCAAATACTCTGAATGTAGTATTACGTCCCAATAATAACGAGCTTTAATTTGAAGAAAATAGACAAAAGGCTGCATTGAGTACTCAGTGTCCTGTATTTCTTAGTCTTATATCAAATGAGTTTTATCATACTGATCTCTATCTCAAGATCTAAAGATCTTAATTACAATACTGAGACTAAATCTGAACCTTTTTAAGTAACTTTTAATAATTTAAATTTTTTTAAAAAAATTTAATTATTTTGCAACTTTCTTTTGCTAATGATATCACAATCGTGTTGAACATTTGAATGTTTCGAACTTAAAGCTTTACTTATTTCTTTTCCTTATCAGAAATAAATCCTTGAAGACGCAAATTATTGAAGTTAAGGAAGATATTAACAGTGCAAATGCGAAGTCAGCTCAAGTCTTGGATATCCTTCCAGACAAGGATCAGTCAATACACAGTGCCTTACGAGAAATGGAAATAAAAATGAAATCCTGCCTCCAGAAGAAAGCAGAACTGAGAAGAATTTCGGAAGACTTAGAAAAACAATCACGTCACTACGAGGACCAGATCTGTCAGATGAAACTGAAGATACATCACGAAAATAAAATGCTTTCGAAAGCGGAAGTAAAGCTAGAGTCGATGAGAGCCAAAGAAAATAAATTATGCGACACATCTGACGAAATTCAGACTCAGAAAAAAACAACTCTGCGCCATTTCAGAGAAGAACTATCTAAGTTAGAGGAAGCATACTTAAAGAAATTAAAATCATTAGAGAAGGTTGCTTCAAAGATATCCAAGAATAAAGAATGGCTTTTAAGCCTTCAAAATAAAAATAAGTTGATAACTGGTGTTTATACGAAATTACAAATTACCCCCATTGACTCTTTGGAAGATGTATCTGGTAATGTGAGTGAAGAACACGTGAACATAACCGATACAAAGCCTTACGTAACCGAACTTGACGATCATGAGCACCAATCAACGAAAGCAGGCACTGAAACAAATGAGGATTTATTGATTGAAGAACTGGAAACAAAATCGTCCAGTCTTGCTTCTTCTTTCGATGCAGTCGAACAAAGAAACTGGCAGAAGTCAAACTTTTTCTATGACATTATTGATAAAATGGAAGAAATGTTGAAGAAACTTCTGTGTGACCAATACATCCTCTGGAAGTTATCCGTACGTTCAAAAATACTCAATGAACGTGCTCGAGCTCTACAACGAGCTCAAGCTCAGCCTCTAACTTCGAAAAAAAATAAAAAGATCAACAGATCAGAAATGAACACCGTTGAGCAAATTGAAAATTCGAAAATTTTATGGAATGTATTAAAACTAGAAACTAAACTTTTAACAGCTTTAATTAAATGCGCCATTTCAAGCTCTGCGCAAGATTTTGAGATATATGGCGGTCGTATGTACGAAAGTAAAGGTATTTTCTTAATAACGTGCTCTGACATTTTAAATAAACAATAAAAATAGCATCGTTAATTTGACAGCATTTGTTTTATTGTGCAGAAGTTTTTACATATTCTTTAACATAAATGGGTTTTTAATTTAGTTAAATTAATTAAAATTTTGAGCTGCTCAGGTTTTTCTGAATACTGTTGCGTTGTGTTCGTGGATTTGGAGTACTTGATGATAACACACTTTCTGAAAAATCCAAACACAATTTATTTGCTAATATTATACAGGAGAGCTTCAGAGACACGTTTACAGTCATTGAAAAACTACCATAAACACACTGAAACAATCAGAAACACAGCCTTCAAGCTACAACGGCGAAGACAGCTTCACGGCAAAACACTAAAGTACCGCTCCCGTCTCGGTTCAGTTGTTCTCAAACTATGTAATCTCTAAGCTAAAAACACTATTACTGAACGCAACACATTACTTTCTGCTTCCAGGTTTCACTATAGCCGGACTTAACTTGAGAAAAAAATCAAGTTTTCTGCCGGCAATCAACAGTTGTGTTGCTTGAAGCGATGCAGAGATTAGAGTAAATGATCTGGTCCCGTAGGTAGGATGGTACTTGGGAGAAGGAGTGACACCTTGTCACGTGAGACGAAGCCAGATATCTGGTTGGTTGCAGACTTAAGTGTGTAAATATTTCATTTAAACAACATACAAAAAATAAAAGTACAAAAATTCATAATAAATATTTTCCTATGAGTCTTCAGGTGATATGAAAAAACTATTTACAAGTTTCCATAGCCAATTCTCTCCAAAAATCATAAGGGTTCCTAATGTAAAATCAGATATTTTATTGATCTTTGAATGCATATTGTAGTCAGTTCTTAATTTATGCGGAATGCAGGATAGCTAGGCTAGAATATTTTTAATATCTGATGTTGCGTGTCTGATTTTTCGTATCAAAATTCCTGTTGCAAAAGCATTGTTGGGATGAGTTCTGCTACCAGTTTGGTTTAAACAGAATCATGTATTATGAGACTCAACTGCAAAAGCTTCTGTAAAGGTTCATTATCTTATGCCTTTTTCAATAAGAAAAGCTGTCACTTCGAAAATATGAACAAAAAAATAAAATATGAACAAACAAACAAATATGAACGTCGGTGACAAATATGAACATCGTTTCCAGAAAGAAAATGTAAAATATCGCTAAAAAAGCCCTGTATATAACAGCTATTGTGTGAAATGTATTATTCAGTAACTAAAAGAAAATGTAATATCGCTAAAAAAGCCCTGTATATACAACAGCTATTGTGTGAAATGTATTATTCAGTAACTAAAAGAAAATGTAATATCGCTAAAAAAGCCCTGTATATACAACAGCTATTGTGTGAAATGTATTATTCAGTAACTAAAAGAAAATGTAATATCGCTAAAAAAGCCCTGTATATACAACAGCTATTGTGTGAAATGTATTATTCAGTAACTAACAGAAAATGTAATATCGCTAAAAAAGCCCTGTATATACAAAAGCTATTGTGTGAAATGTATTATTCAGTAACTAAAAGGAGAATTTCTAATCAACAACTGCCGAAAAACCTATGGGTTATAATTATTTTAAATTCCCACTTTTATGATTTAGATCTTTACGATAACTTCTCCTTTTCGTTTTCTCTCCCAGAATAGTTTGAGAGTATTTAAATAGAGGCTTTTGGATTTTAAGACAGAGCGTGTTTTTACCTCTCGAGACCACGCTACTAGGATTTACCATCTCTAATGAGATTGTAATTTTTTTCGGCTTTGCGTTGCTGCCGATATTTAATTGTTACGCCAGAAAGAAGTTTTGAGCCAACACAGAATTTAAAATCAATTGTATTGTCTTTGACTAATAGGCTTAATTTTAAGTTTGAATAAGTTTTACTGGTACGAGTGGTGTTAGTTTTGTTAAGCACTAGAAATGCGTTTATGTTCAGGTTTTGATTTAATAAAAAGGTTGTTTTTAATCTTTCAGTAGTATTTTACATCTTCTGATTCGTTATATCAGGAATGATATCAGAGAAAAAAACAAGATCATTGGTTCGTCTCAGCCCTACTAAAAACGACAGGCTTCGACGAGAGACAGTGTAGAAAGCTAAAATCTCTTGGCACTGGTCGTGAAGTTATGTCTTTTGTACTGTCAACTGGAACGAATTATTGCGTCTGCAATGTCTCCGACCATGTCGTGTGACACATCGTAAAAGCTTGAAAACAGTTACTTGCGGGAACCGCACGATTTTCTCATCTCTGTGTGGTCCGCTGCATGCACTTTGTTATCTGCAAACGTATAATGCCAGTCATGCTTAAAGTTATAAGCTTCTATGTAAAATCCACAATTTCCCTCCCCCTCCAGTCTTTTCTTTTAGTCACTCAGGATGAGATAAAACAGTCAGATGTGAAAAGGTAAGAGAAGAAAACTAAAAATACAAACTAAATCTTTTTCTATAATGCTTTGCTTTAGGTGTCCGTCGGAAACATCACTGCAAAAACATCGCGGAGGAGACAACGCAAGGCGAAAACGTCGTGGCACAAAACATCATGGGAGAAAATATAGCAAAGAGAATATATCGCAATTCTAAAACATCGTAGTACAAAATATCCTCTTCGAAAATAAAGCAGTTCAAAAACTTCCCAGTTTAGAAACATCGTCGAAAGTATCGTGATAAAAAATAAAGTACCTACAAATCATCGCATGACAACAACATCACAGACATGCGTTTTTCAAGCTTTAATAATTGTAAATGGATACTCGCATAATGATTTGTGCGCTCAAGATGGAAAGAAAGATAATTTTTACTTTCATACTTTTTATTAACTAATACATATTTGCTGAAAATGTAAAATGGAAACTTGAGCATAGTTTCCCTTTTACATTTTCAGCAAATATGCATTAGTTAAAAATAGAAAATTAATTCAATTTATTGCACTTAATAGAATTTTAGCCTGACATAGCTAACTAACAAGGGTCATTAAAAAATTATTTTTTAATAAAGTTTTACTGGTAATTTTTCACGAAAAGTATCATCTAAAAAAGATTAGAAAAAGGAAGATAAGTAACTGCATGTCCTTATCTATAAAAAATTGCTAATTATTAGATTATTTTCTTTGCTTTTGTTAATCTGATACTCTTATAGTGAAAATTATTTCTTTTTTGTTTAAATTTCTTGTTTGTTTTTAGTCCAAAGGGGCTTTGCCCCTGAAGGACTATGGTTTTCGTTTTGCGATTTTGCGTTGAATCACTATAAATGTCCGTTTCACTTTTCAAACTGTTGCCACCAAATGTTAGAATCCTGCATGACATCTGAAGAAATTAAATGAAAAATCTGCATGAATGTATGTATATTTCTCGCATTATGATAAAATAACGGTACATATAGCCATCGAATTTTGAATGACGTAATCCTCCTACGAATATGGGCATTGTAACGTCAGTACACCCGTGTCGGGTAAAAGAAAGACAGGTTGTCTTTTAAATTATTTATTTGATAAACTAAAATAGATTTCTTGATTAAAACATAAAAATAAACTGATCATTACAGCCCTAAATCATACAATATCCGCTAACGCAGATTGGACGCAAAAAAGCGTCCTTTTTACTGTAGTTACAGCATAAAAAAACTATTGTTCTACAGAAACCACTGGCGTGGTTTAGAAAGAAAAAGATGCGTCCTGTCCCCTCAAAATCACATGAAGAACTCTTACACAAAGATTTCACTCGTTTTGTTATCTGCGAAGAGAAACATAATTAGTTCCTTGTGTCCAGAAACTGCTAGGGGGTTTTTCTGCAGTCCTGGTTTTCGCAGGTATGGTCCATTCGTCCTCGAACCAAACAGGAAGTTATAATTCCGCAGCTATGCCCGCGGGGGGGGGGTTCAAGTAGCTGTATCGTCACAACCCCTTTTCTCCCCGGGGGCCGGGGGTTTCCAGAACTCCAATTCAGGATAGCTACCACAGCAAGTTTTCAAAGGTAAACTAATTAAGCAAATTAGTTATTAGCATTAATACATTTTACAACAACACTGGGCTAAGTACCAAGGATAAATACATAACAAGAATTATATTGAGGCCAGTAAAAAAAAAAAGCATATAATCAACATAATACCTGAGAAATAAACTTAATTATACACATACAAATAAAGAACGTATAATTTTCTGAAAAATGTAATATACAATATACAGTCCTAAGTTTATATTAATTATATATCTAGCCAGGCTGATATTAATTATATATCTAGGCGGGCTGAAAAGGGAACCCTTGTATATTTCTAATTTTCCGTTTCTGATAATCTCTCAATGGTAACCCAAAGGGAAACCTTGACCTCAAAATAAACAGCATTTAATTTTTAACACCAGAAAAAAAACTTCATTGCAAGTTGGATTTCCATTTGTAGCTTTATAATCCCCTTTCTCTCAATGGATAAAACTGGTAACCCATAAATGAACTCGAGATCCTTCACTTTCCTTGGCAAATTTACTACTCGGTGTCTTGGGCAATTCTCCTACGGAATTTCTAGGCATTCGCAAACCTTCCCGAGTCTGGTTGGTACGAAACGTCATTTAGCTTCATCTACCAGTTTCTTGTTCGTGCCGAACTCGAAAAGGTAATTCTTAACTTGTACACCTTTCCCAAAGAGTTACTGTGATCGTTTAACGCGACTAAGTCACAAGATGGCTTTACAACGTCACTTTTCTTTTGTAGGTCCGCTATAAAAGAATATTTTATTGTAGGCAGTGATAGTTCATTCACTTTCGTTTCAGGCAGAAAGATAAATTGGTTTTCTCTATCCTTTGTGTTTGAGACAAGACTTTCAACCCCTTTCTATAATGAGGGGAGAAACTTCGCTTGAGGGTTCGAGTTCCCCGCGTTCAGACTCCAGTGGACAACTTTTTTTCCCATTTCATTCTTTGATTGACTCGGAGCTCGAATACCCGTTTTACCCTGAAAGAAAAGTTTATCGTGTTGATCTACGGCTAATTTTTCGGCGGTTCTGCTTCCTAACAGATAATGTTCCAATTCATTTCGAGTGACCGCTGCTTTTGTTGTTAACTTGGCCAAAAGTTCCTTGCTA